TAATGAACTCCAAGAATAATAAGCCCATAGGCTCATTCCACTTATTTAGTAATGTTTAAATTTTCCATGTTACAAACTTATTTATTGTTATCTGATAATCAGTATAGCCATATATATTTATAAACTATATATATGTTTAAAAATGAGAATTTATTGCTTCTAAGAGGTATGAAAAGCTTTATGAGCATAATTACGGAAAAATTTAATAGAGTACTAAAAACTAAGTAGAGACAGATGCTACAACCATTATACAAGTGGAAAAGTGAGGTGGTAGGAGCTATGCACACACACTGGCAAAATCAAAGAGTCAGGAACAGATGTAAAATTTTCTATTTTTTCCCAAACAATCATCAAAAAGTCCTTTCCCTCCTCTTGAAACCATTCTGGTCAAAATTCCTGATAGTTCTACCTTTTGATCTACAGTAACTATTAAGTCACAAACAGCAAAAACAATTACTATGCACATACATAATTATTTTGACTTGTCAACAATGTTGCCTTATTTCTATATTTACACTATTTTAAAACTTACACAATACTTCAAAGTCACAGAGATTTTTGTCCTAGATGATAAGCTGAACCGTTTCTATTTAGAATATATATATTTTAAAATGAAAAAATAAGCAAATATAGAAATAAAGGTAGTAACAATGATCATTTAAAAATCAAGGCTGAGAAAGTCTGCCTTACATTAGTCCTGCAGGATTTTAGTAGCTGTTTGCAACCAACCTCTTATGACAGTCAGATTTCTGTGAGTGTGATGGCATCTGCAGCACCTCCCTTTTCTGATCTGTCTTTTGAATCATCTGCAGACTTAACACAGTTAGTAATAACGTCTGCTGAAGGGCAGATTTCGTCCTGACACTCCCAATAGTCGCTTCTACCTAGGGCCACTGACTCAGGCTTCTCTCCTGTTCTGTTTTTCACCAGGCGGTTTTCTCTCTATATATGGTCATAATGCTCACACACATCAGCCTCTTGCTTCCCTAGGAAAACTGGAAAGTGAAATCACATGAACAAAACTTTAGAATACTGTTGGCCATGGTAGTTTCTGGGCTAGTTAGAGTGAGCCAATTATGAAATCAGTTTTGTCTTCATAGAATGGTCTTACTCATCACTGCCCACTTGAAGCAGTGTGTTTCACATAGCAGTTCCGCAGCCTCCTCCCCCCACCCCTGCATGGCTATCACTTGCTGCCCTTGCACCCAGCACCTGGTTCCCATGGGAAGTCAATGCAATGTGCTTTAGATTACTCCATGCGGCCTGTTAGGGTTCCTTTAATAGGGTCACACACCGTCTGCCTTTATGTAATAAAGTCTGTCCACTTTAAGTATATAAATATGTTCAGCAAAGAGGAAGCTCAAGGGAGAACAGTAACCATATGTAAGTCCTCTTGTGTGAGGCATAACTCTAAATAAACTATAAGTAGTTTCCTAGCAAAGTGGGTCATGGAAAAGCCCAGGTTATTCAGAATGACCAGAGATTTAAAGGAAATGTGCAGAAATAAGGTATTTTTAATAGAATCTCATTAGCTTTAAATTGCTGTCTTTCCCTTTTGTTGTTGAACAAAACATATCTTTAAACTAGATATCTAGAAATATTAGACTTCATCAAGGGAATTATAAATAGAATTTTCACCTATATTTCATATTTAAATAAAATATTTATTTTACTTTCTAGTTATAATTAGAAAACATGTAGAAGAACATTGAATGTTGTTAGAATATTGAAGAAATAAGCTTTACCTTCTCTCTGGTGTAGATGTGAGAGCCATTACACATTGTAAGGGAACTATTCATGGTAGAGTGTGTCGCGCAAAATAAATACACAAAGGATGTTGAGTAAAACCATTTTTACTGCATTTTTCAAAATAATTCAATATTAGAGTTATGTTTGAAGTCCACTATCAGCTTTTTTCCATTGAGTTATTTTAAGTACAGTGCTATCCAGAAACAGAAGGATAAACTAGATATCTTCTTAAAGTAACTTTTGGTAACATTTCTCAGCCAGGGTAATTTGAAAGAGTGAAAAAGAGTGTAATGATACTGTATGGCTTTGAGGAACAAGCTCATTGCTACTCATCCTGATCATATCTTCTGTCTATATATTCCCACTGTGCACTCCCAGCCTCAACTCCCTCAACCATGCCTTGCAAAATCAATGAATAAATGAATAAATGAATGAATGAATACATAAATAAATAACGTGTTATAATCAATACAGTTTCACTTCATAATGTCATCATGAACACATTCATTATTATTTGTTCCCACCACCATTTCCTTTCTGGGCAAAAAACCAAAACAAAACAAACAACAACAACAAAACTAAAAACAAACCAAAAACCAAAGTCAATCAAACAAAAAACTTGAAAACAAAACAAAAGAAGCAAAGTACTTGTGCTCAGGTCTCAATAGAGTGGAAATCCTTCCCTCCATTTTTTTTAAGTGAAAGCAGATAGGGATAAAAGTTTTTTTTTTTTTTTTAATTTATATATTTTTATTGATTTAAGAGAGAAGAAGGAGAGGGAGAGGTCGAAACATCAATGAGAGAGACATACCATTGGGCTGCTTCCTGTGCTCCCCCTCCTGGGAATGGAACCATCAACAGGGGCTTGTGCCCTGACTGAGAATTGCACCTACCACCTCTTGGTGCATGGGACAATGCTCAACCAACTGAGCCACACCAGCTGGGCTGCTGGGTTTTTTTTGTTGTTGTTGTTGTTTTTTAATATGAAGTTAGAGGACAAACAGAAACTTGTGAGCCACAATACAGAGTATTCAGTTTTTCCATACTGTGGCTTTCTTTCCTTTTGAATGGGATGGAGAGAAAGTAGTTATTGTCTGCCACCTAGTGTATTGAATTGGAATTGCGTCTTGCCACAAAGATACAGAAGCTAAAATTCATAAAAACAGTGTGCTGGTTTAAATAAGGATTGATGGGTTCAATCAACAATTCTACTTTAAGCTTCAGAGTTCTACAAAAACAATGAAAAGAACACAACGCTGATCATTTATTGCAAAATTGAAGATCAGGAGTTGATCATAAGTCAAGATGTGAAGAATCAAGAAATGATACTTACAGAACCTTGTAATGAATAGAAGTGTGTGATGAGGAAATATGTCCATAATTAATGAATTTATTGCATTCAGAATACTCTGTGGAGCAGTACTTAAAAAGACCTCCGCTAAAGCAAAGCAAGAAAAAAAAAACATATATCAGTGTGCGTTGTCTTTCTGACAGAGCAGACATTCTGGCAGTCACCCAGGCTCAATACTTTGAAAGAACTTTCAACATATCTCTATTTCCTCTTTAGTTTTTTCCTTTGTAATGTTTGTTTTTCCTTCGTTATTTCTCCATTTTTTAATCACTGCTTTTCCATAATACTTTCCTTCTTCTTATCTCTGATCAGTCTACATACTGGTTATCAAACTAATCTTCCTTAAACACGGGATCACTGTTGATTCAAAATATCTGAACACTATTTCTCTCTCTTTCTCCCAAATTATCTTTATCTGGCTTCATTGTTGCTGTAATCTGGTCTCACTCTACCTATACTATTTTATTCCCTTCAACTCGTTGCCAGTCACTTCATGGCTCCTTGAGTAACCCTGTCATTGTTCCCTTGAAGCCTTCATTAATGTAGTTCCTCTCACAGGAATGCCTGTCCTTCCCTTCTTTGGCACACTGAATTGTCTTCAGCGTCCAGGATCCAGCCCAGCTGCTGGTCCAGCATAGACACCCTCCCTTGCCTGTGAAGTCTTAGAGGAATTATAGGTTATACTCTATAACTGAGTACTTGCACAAATACTGTCCAGTGGTTTACTATTATTTCAGAGATTTTAGTCCCATCTCCTCCAAAATCTATTGTGAAGTACTTCAGGCCAGAATCTATTTCTTATTTTGTTTTATTTTATTAAAATTTAAATTTAATTTTTTCATCACCATTTATCCCCTCTATACCCTCTTCCTACCCCCTGCAATCACCACATTGCTGTCCATGTCCATGAGTTCTTTTTTTTTTTTTTTTTTTTTTAATCCTCATCCGAGGACATTTTTCCATTTTTTGTACAGACAGAGTGAGAGTGAGAGAGAGGAAGAGAGAGAGAGAGGGAAACATCGATGTGAAAGGGACACATCGAGTGGCTGCCACCCGCACGACCAACCAGGGCCGGGGACAAACTGCAACCGAGGTACATGCCCTTAGCGGGAACCGAACCCGGGCCTTTCCGGACCGCAGGCAGACGCTCTAACCGCTGAGCCAAACCGGCCAGGGCCATGTCCATGAGTTCTGTCTTTTGTTTTTTTTTTGCTCAATTCCTCCCCCTAACACCCTCCACTCCCACTAAAGTTGTCTGCCCACTATCTATGAGTCTGTCTCTAATTTGCTTGGTAGTTCAGTTTGTTCATTAAATTCCACATATGAGTGAAATCATATGGTACTTGTCTTTATCTGACTGGCTTATTTAATTTAGCATGATGTTCTCCAGGTTCATTCATGCTGTCATAAAGGGTAAAATTTTCTTCCTTTTTATGGCAGAGCAGTATTCCATTGTGTAAATGTACCACAGTCATTTATGAATGGGCACTTGGGCTGCTTCCAAATTTTGGCTATTGTAAATAATGCTGCAATGAACATAGGGATACAAATATTCTTTCAAATTAGTGTTTCAGGTTTCTTCAGATAAATTCCCAGAAGTGGAATCACTGGGTCATAAAAGGCAGTTTCATTTTTAATTTTTTGAGGTAACTCCATACTACTTCCCACAGTGGCTGCACCTATCTGCATTCCCAATAGTGCTCATGGGTTCCCTTTTCTCCACATCCTTGCCAACACTTGTTTGTTGATTTATTGGTGATAGTCATTCTGAAAGGTGTGAGATATCTTATTGTGGTTTTAATCTGCATTTCTCTGATGATTAGTGACATTGAGAATCTTTTCATATGTCGATTGGCCATTTGTATTGGAAACATTTCTTACCCTGTTCAAGCCTACCTTTGGGTCTACATCTTTGGAAGCACTAGGAGCTCATTGATACATGTCGCTTGTATTTCTTTATCTGCAGCACAATTCTGCAAGAAGACATGGTTGGCATTATTCTCTTTTGATTAGTGAGAATGTTAAGTCTCACAGCATTTGCACGATTTACTCTTGTCAACAACAATGCCAGGACAGGAGCTCTGGGCTCTCCTCCTTGTCTGGAGCTCCTCCATGCACACCTGCTGCCATGGGATGGCACTGATGGCTGCAGCCATGCACTAGCCCTTCTTTACTTTCAGATAGATAGCTCTATTTCCTTAGATAACTGACGTGGCCTCACATTGTAGGGAGCAGCCAGGCAACAGATCATAATCAGGGCATGTTGTTATGCCTCTTACTTGGCAATTTCAGTTCTTTCTGGGTGGTTATGCCACATTTTCAGCTCACACCCATTTTTCCTGTTTCAAAACCACAAACTAGTTCTCTGGCAGATAGAACATTCTTCAGCACAGCCTCTGATTAAATTACTATCTGGCTCATTTAAACCTTTAAACACCTGTGAATGAGACTGTCCCCTGCCCTTTCCTACCTGCTGAAAGGTGTCTTGGGGCTTCCAAGCTCACACCCTGTGTTGAGCAATTAAAAACAACTACTTCCAGACTGTCTTCACCAGAGTTGTTAGGGAGTCTGGGAAGATTTCTAGGTAGTTCCAACTCTGGCCACAGGATGGATTCACTTCCCATCCTGTGTGTGTCTTGGTTGACTCCAGCACCAGCAGCAGGGTGACTTTGGCCTCATTCATTCACACAGACTTATGCTGTGGAACCCTCTACTGATGCCCTGGTTCTCTTGGGCCTTGCTCAGGCCTCGAGGCTTTGGCTCGCTTGCCAAGGGAACGGAGGAACAACATGAAACCATCACATCTACATGAAGTCAGGCAGTCAGAGGGATGACAGTCCTGAAAACTGTCCTGTTAACTTCCTGGAACATAAATGCTAACAAGATTGTTAAGCAATTCTACCAATTTAGAATAATTATGTATATTAACTGTACAAAAGCAGTAGAGAGAGGCTTGGATTGTTTAAAGGAAATATAAGTATGCAGTTCTAACAAGTGACTTATAATTGCACATCTAATGAAATTATCAGAACTGAAGAAGTGTCATGAAATACAATATCATGACCTTTTTTTTTAAATACATGTAAAGAAGATTAGTTTCCAACCAAGCCACAAAAAGTTTAATAAGAATGGCAGAAAATTTTAAACTAAGAATTAGATCTAAAACTTTGCCATGCAAGGTGAGTTAAGTCCTAGAGATCCACTGTATAACATAGACCCTGGAGTTAACAGTACTATATTGTATACTTAAAATTTGCTAAGAAGTTAAATCTTATGTTAAGCCCCCTTATCATTGTTCAAAGAGTAATGACATCACTTTTACAATATGCAAAGCATAATCACAACTTCATTTCCCTCTATTCTTTCAACAGGTCCAGAAAAGATAGACCAGCTATTCTGATCTCTGTTTTCCTTGACTTCAAAATCAAATAGCTTCCAACTCTTCCATGCCTCATACTGTGGTGGTGGTAGTGGAGGAGCAGAGGCTGAGCCCTGAACCCAGACCTCTGACTTCATATCCATTAACTGTCTATACACCAGTGTGTTGAGATACAAACTCCATCGTGAAATAGTATTGACTACTTAACCATTGAAATAAGTTTGAATAAATATATGTTTTCTAGACTTAGGGAAATTTTTATGTTCCCTGATCAAATTCCTAACGTGGCCCGGCTAGTGTGGCTCAGTGGTTGAGCATTGACCCATGCACCAAGAGGTCGCTGGTTCAATTCCCCGTTAGGGCACATGCCCAGGTTGTGGGCCAAACCCCCAGTGGAGGGCATGAGGGAGGCAGCCAATTGATGTTCTCTCTTATTGATGTTTTTATCTCTCTCTCTCCCTCTCCCTTCCTCTCTCTCTAAAAAAAAACAAACAAAAACAAACAAACAAACAAAAAACCCAAAACAAAACCCAAATTCCTAATGTGGCACCTTGGGAAAAAAATCCCTAAAACATGTCTTTACTGTAAATTTCATTGTGTGTGAGTCCCTAGATTTTATGATTCTTTCTATCACTTCACACAAAGCTTAGCTAATGAAGAAGACAAAAGAGTGATATCATGTCCACAGTTTCTGACTCTTATTTTTGGCCAAAAACATCTGCAAAGCTGTAAGAAAAAAAGATCTCTTATCCTCTGAGATGATATGGAAAGTATTATGCTAACGAAACAAGCCAAGCAGAAAAAGACAAATACCACATGATCTCACTTATTTGTGGAATATAATGAACATAACAGTTTGAGGAATAGGATAGACCCAGAGACATGGAAGTAGGGTACAGACTGACAACCCTCAGAAGAGGGAGTGGTGGGTGTTGGGAAGAGATAAGAATTTATATGCATGTATGCATAACCGATGGACGAACAACAAAGCTGAGTATGGGGTGGGGGGGATGGGGAGGAGGGTGTCAATGGGGAAAAAAGGAGAAACATCTGTAACAAAAATAAATAAATAAATAAAATAAATAAAAATTAATTAAGAAAAAATCTGCAAAGCCCCTTGCTATCATAAGTAAGTAAGCTCAGAACGCCATATGTCACGGAATATCCAGCTAGTCAATCTTGAGCGCAGTCTTCAAAAACAATATAATCTGAGAAAAAACACTGGAGGCTGAAGAAACATTGGTTCTTCTCAAATTTATCAGAAACTATTCAATGCAAACCACATTTTTGTTTTGTTTTGTTTTTGGTATGTGCCCCTAGCGGAAACCGAACCCAGGACTCTCTGGTCTGCAGGCCGACACTCCAACCGCTGAGTCAAACCGGCCAGGGCGCAAACCATATCTTTTTTGTGTAATGTGACTGATTGGCACTGATAGATGGTATTGGTATCTCACGATATATCGGAACATTAGATTTCCTGCTGACAAAGTTCTGGGTAGGTTTGTGAAACCAAGTAAAATTATTAGAAAATACTATATTGACTTTTCATGTTCAAGGCTCTAGTTTCTGAAGTCTTTAGTGCCTAGGGAAGGTCACTGCCATTGGGAGTGAGAGCTTGATTGATTAGAATAGAGATGTGTCTTTGAAAAGATTGAATTGCTAGCTTTAAAGGATCAAATTTAACTCTCAAGAGGGAGGCTGCCTTTATAAGTTTTTCCCTTAGATAGTTGTGATTCTTTTTTTCATGTCTTGAAATAGAAAATTGGGGAAGATCATACTATGTGAGTAGTCTTGTGTAAATTGTCCCTCAGGTCTAGATCTAGAGATTATAATCTATTAGTAGAAAGCTGAAAAAAATCCACAAAATACAAGCAAAGCAATAAATTGTTTTCTCACTTCTGATGACCTCTGTAGGAGGTTGCACTTAGTGGGAGTGGACATTTAGTTAGAAAACTAAAAAATTGAAGAGCACTTAGTAATTGCTTGCCGGCTGGGCTGCTGTGCCCCTGAATACACCATGCCTCTTCATCTAACTGCAATGTGACTTCAATCTGATTTAACTCAGTTTTTTCTTGTTTTTAAAATTTATTTTTGTTACAGATGTTTCTACTTTCCCCCGCATTGACACCTTACTCCAGTTCCTCCTCCCCCCACCCCAGCATTATTGCCTATGTCCATTGGTTATGCATACATGCATACAAATTCTTTGGTTTATCTCTTCCCTCCTTCCTGTCCCCCTCATTTGAGGTTAGTCAGTCTGTACCCTACTTCTATGTCTCTGGGTCTATTTGGTTCATCAGCTTATTTTGATCATTATATTCCACAAATACGTGAGATCATGTGATACTTGTCTTTCTCTGACTGGCTTATTTTGCTTAGCATAATACTCTCCAGGTCCCTCCATATTGTCTCAAAGGATTAAGAGATCTCTCTTTCTCCTTTTCTTTTTTTTTTTTTTATCCTCACCTGAGGATATTTTTCCATTTTTTTGTACAGATAGAGTGGGAGGGAGAGAGAGGAAGGGAGAGACAGATAGAAACATCGACGTGAAGGGACACATCGAGTGGCCACCACCCGCACGACCAACCAGGGCCGGGGACAAACTGCAACCAAAGTACTTGCCCTTAGCGGGAACCGAACCCGGGTCTCTCCGGACCGCAGGCCGACGCTCTAACCGCTGAGCCAAACTGGCCAGGGCAAGAGATCTCTCTTTCTCACAGCTGCATAGTATTCCATCATGTATACTTACCACAGCTTTTTTATCCACTCATGTATTGATGGACAGTTGGGCTGTTTCCTGATCTTAGCAATTATAAATAGTGCTGCTATGAATCTAGGGGTACATATATTATTTCTGATTGGTGTTTCAGGCTTCTTAGGATATATTTCTAGAAGTGGGATCACTGGGTCAAATGACACCTCCATTTTAAATTTTTTGAGGAAGTACAATATTGTTTTCCGTAGTGGCTGCACTAGTCTGCATTCCCACCAACAGTGTATTAGAGTCCACTATTCTCTACACCCTCACCACCACTTGTGTGATGATTTCTTGAAGGCAGCCATTCTGATAGGTGTGAGGTGATACCTCATTGTCACTTTAATTGGCATCTCTTTGATGTTTAGTGATGGCTGAGCATTTCTTCATATGTCTCTTGGCCATTTGTATGTCCTGTTTGGAGTGGTGTCTATTTAGATCCTCCACCCATTTCTTAATTGGATTCTTTGTCTTCCTTTTGTTGAGTTGTATGAGTACTCTATATATTTTGGAGATTAACCCCTTTTCTGATGTATTGTTGGCAATTATGTTCTCCCATATAGTGGGTTCCCTTTCCATTTTAATGCTAATTTCTTTTGCTGTGCAGATTTTTAGTTTGATGTAGTTCCATTTATTCATTTTATTCCTTTGTTTCTATTGCCTTAGGCATTGTATCAGTGAAAATTCTGCTGCATATGATGTCTAAAATTTTGTTGCCTACACTTTCTTCTAGGATTTTTATGGATTCACAAGTCACATTTAAGTCTTTTATCCATTTTGAGTTTATTCTTGTGTATGGTGTAAGTAGGTGTTCTAGCTTCATTTTTTTTTAATGTAGC